AAATGCACCATTTTAAAGTGTGTGGGTTGGTACATTCACAGTGGGGCAGCTATTTTTACTATTTCAGTTCCAGATCACTTTTATAACCTCTAAAGGAAACCCAGTGCCCATTAACAGTCACTGTCTGTTTTCCCTTTCCCTTAATTCCAAGCAATCATTAGTCTTTTTTTTTCCATCTCAATGGATTTGTCTTTTCTTGACATTGATAGTTAGCTTTGTGTCTGGCCTAGTTCACTTGTATAATGTTTTCTTTTATTCCTGTTTTATTGTTGTTTAGATATTTTATCTCGATACGTAGCCCAGGCTAGCCTCAAACTCATGATCCAGCTACAGCTTCATTTGTGTTGTAGGATTACAGGTGTGCACTGCTGTACTCAGCCTTAGCATGTTTCCATGCTACTTTGTGGCATGTTACTTTGTAGCATGAATCCATACTTTATTTTATGGCCGAATAATACTCCTTTGTATAGATGTACTACATTTTGTTTATTTACTCATCAATTGATGGATATTTGGGCTGTTCCTCCTTCGTGGCTATTCTGAATAAGGTTATTGTGAATATTCATGTACTAGTTTATGGGTACCACATTCATGGAGGAGACTGTAGAGGCTAGAAGAGGACATCAGATACCCTGGAACTGGAGTCACAAGTGGTTGTGAGCTGCCATGTAGGTACTGGGAATGGAACCCAGGTCCTCTGTAAGAGTAGTGAGTGTTCTTATTCTTAACTACTGTGAGCCATCTCTCCAGCCCCGTTTTCAGTTCTTTTGAGTATATCTTGCAATGGAATTAGTAGATTAAGAGATAATTGTTTAGTCATTTGAGGTGGCTGTATCACTTTACATTTCTCTCTCCTCCCTCTCAGGTGCTAGAATTATAGCATGTACCGCCAGACATAGACCAGGCTGGCTTTGAACTCAGGGTTCTCCTGCCCTTGCCTCCTGAATGCTGGTATTATAGGCATGTGCCAGCATGCTTGGCTTGAGCATTCCAGTTTCTCTATATCTTTGCCAGTATTAATTTTCCATTTTTTTCAAATTATAGCCATTCTGTTAACTTGTTTCTCATTATGGTTTTGATTGGCGTGTGTAATGACTAATAATATTGAACCTCTCTTCATATGCTAAATTGGCCAGCTTCTGTTTTTAGCTCTGTGACTTTGGTTAAGTCCTGTAAACTCTGAGGCTCATTAATCCATTATCTATAAAATGGAGATTCATTAATGTCCTCCATATCTGTGGCTTTCTATAGTTTTTACAGTTTCCTGTGATCAATCAAGGTTAAAAAATATTAAATAGAAAATTCTAGTAATAAGTGATTAATAAGTTTTAAAATGCACACAGTTTGAAGTAGCCTGATGAAATTTCATGCCATACGACCCTGGGTGTGAGTCATCCCTTATCCATTCTGTCTGCACTATGTATGACACCTAGTCACTCAGCTGTCCTTTTATCCGGCTGAAACTTTTGGTATTGCAGTGCTTGAGCTCAAGTAAACTTTATTTTACTTACTAATAGCTCTAATGCACAACAGTTATGATTCTACCAATTTAGATATGTTGAAGAGAAGCAGTAAACTGCCTTCCTTAAGTGAAAATGTGAAAGTTCTCAATAAAGAAAGGAAAAAAATAATATGCTAAAGTTGCTGAGCTCTAGTGTCAGATTGAAGCTTCTTTTATTGTTGCTGTTTGTTTGAGACAGGGTTTCATGTAGTCTAGGCTGGCCTTGAACTCCTGACCCTCCAGCCCACTCCTAAGCACTTAGATTCTAGGCATGCTCTACTGTGCCTAGTGAGAATTACTCTTCTAGCTATGAAATTGTTTACAAGGAAAAAGAAAATTTAGCTTATTTTACTGTTGCGTCTCAAAGCAGGATAAGTGCTTATTTAAGATGGAAAGGCATTAAGGTATGAGAGTGTATGTGTGTGTGTTTATGTGTGTGTGTGTGTGTGTGTGTGTGTGTGTGTGTGTGTGTGTGTGTGTGTGTGTGTGTTTAGGAAAAAAAGCATATAGATGCCAAGTTTGGAACCATTAACCATTTTGCTTTTATTAAAGCCTCATAATGTTATTGTGTTATTATATATGTATAATAGTGTTATTATTGCCTCATAATGTTATTTCAAGGTTAGTAGATGTGAGGTGGGTTTTAACAGTGCCTGATACATAGTAGGTACTTAATTAATGACTATTATTACTTTACTGCCTGAGATGTGGTTAACCTGCAACCCAGACAGAGGCCATTCACCTATCATACATGAAGCCTCAGGTTCAATCCCTAAAAAAAACAAAGAACACAAAAAAATCATTAGTCTTTCCCCTGGCATGGTGGCATGAAATTATAGTCCAAGCTATTCAGGAGACAGAGGCAGGAGGATCACTTGAACCAGGGAGTTTGAAGTCAGCCTGGGCAAAGTAGCAATATTCGGTGTGTCTTCCCCTCCCCTGCCAAGAAAAATCTTTCTGGAGTGGAAATCACTTGGATTGTGGGGCAGTCGGCTTCAGACTAACTAAAGGTTATGTGTCATAGAAAGAACATGGATACAGTCTGATCCAGGTTGCTGTCTTCCAGGTCTGTGGCTCTGAGCACATACTTCCAATTCTCAATTTCCTCAACTATAAAATAGAACTTAGAATGCCTGATGATTGAGTTGTGGGGATGCAAGAGTCTAGATCATACTTGGCACTGTCCTGATACAAGGTAGATAGATGCTGAACCAGAAAGTTGTATGATAGGTGTGCTGGAAACTATCATCATGGGACTGCATAAGATAGTTCTATTCTGACACATCTGGAGTTAATCATACCTGTAGGTATAAATATGTTATAATATTTTCTGGTTCCTTTGCCTGAATATAAAAGTAATACTAACTTTCTTTTACTTTTTTGCTTATTAGTGTTTCTGCCTTTATGTGACTTAGTATGTGATATGACTGCCAATAGTGACTAAACTCTTTGTAGCAAAAGTTTAATGTATTAAAACCTCTGTTAGACTCCAGAAAACTGTTACTTTGCAAGTTAAGTGAAAAATTGGTTAGTTGACTTCAACATTATCAAGATCATAGGCTGCAGAACCAAAGTCTGTGCTTTTCTTTTTCTAGCTATATGACCTTGAAGAGAAAGTAAATGGTCCCATAAAGTTTTGTAAGTATTTTTTTTTTGTCTTTTTGAGACAGGGTCTCCCTGTAGCCCCAGCTGTCCTGGAACTTGCTATGTAGACCAGGCTGGCCTCAAACTCATAAAGATCCACCTGCCTCTGCCTCCCAGGTGCTGGGATTTAAGGCAAGGTTTTGTAAGTATTAAACAAGTTAATGTATATACAGTACTTGGAACTTTGCTTTACATAGCATACAGTCATCATCTGTTAGTTATTGTTATAAATATTTCTTTGTACCAGGACTTATGTGGGAGCCACAGGGATAAAGTCTCTGTGCTCAAAGAACTTAGTCTGATGGAGCAAGTATACAAATGACTTTGATACGCTTTAAGTGCACTGAAAATAGAGCATTGTGTAGGAAGTGTAACTAAGAACCAGTCTCTTTAAAAAACAATAGCTCTGTTTATGAATGTACCTGGTACCAATGGCTTTGGGTATTCTGGAGTCCATTTAGCCTGAGTGAATCTTGCCTAGCACTCACTAACTATACAGCTTCGGGGGAAGTCAACCTTTTTATTTATTTATTTTTATTTTTTGTGTATGAGTGTTATGCCTGCATGCGTGTAAGTGTACCCATATCGTGCAATGCCCAAGGAGGACAGAAGAGGATGTTGGTTCCTCTGGAACTGGAGTTATAGATGGTTGTTAGCCGCCATGTAGGTGCTGGGATTTGAACTTCTGCAAGAACAGCCAGTGATCTTAACTGCTGAGCCATCTCCCCAGGCCACACGTCAACATTTTGCAGCCTCAGTTTCTCAGTTTTTCTTGAGACAGAATCTCACTATGTAGAGTAGGCTGGCCTCAGACTCACAGTGCTTCACCTGCCTCTGCCTCCTGAGGATTTAGGGTGGGATTAAAGGTGTGTGCCATCACACTGTTCTGTTTCCCAGTTTTAAAATAGGGTAAAGGTTCTGATCTCTGTCTATTGGAAGTAACCTGTCTGGGTTCCCTGTTAGAAACTTTCTTTTTGGAAATACCATGTTGTTTAGTAAGGTGCTTCTAATTTAAAAAGTAAGAATTTAGAGAGAAGGGGCTGGGGAAGAAGAGCTGGACCTAGGTTTGGTTTCCAGCACCCATATCAGGTGGCTCACAACTGCCTGTAACTCCAGTTTGGTGAAATCTGACACCCCATTCTGGCCTCAGCTGGCATCTGCACTCATGTCTACATGCCCATACACAGACACACACATACAATAAATTAACTAATCTTTAGAAAAATAGATGAACTAAGATTTTTTTTGTCTGTTTCCATTTGTATATACCTTGCCATTGTTGTTGTCATAATAAAATTACAGAGATTGAATTTGCACAGCACGTAGATGTTTAGCAGTAAATGTTAGCTTGGCAGGAAGTAATAGTTTTAGCATTTTTTCTACAAAGAGCTCTGCTGTTATGGTTTCAAGTAAAAACAAATAATATGCCAAGCATGGTGGCACATGCCTTTAACCAGCACTCAGGAGGCAGAGGCAGGCAGACCTCTGAGTTGAAAGCCAGCGTGGTCTACATAGTGAGTTCCAGGTCAGCTGGGGCTATAGGGAGACCCTGTCTCAAAAAGACAAAAAAAAAAAAAAAAAAAAAAAAAAAAAAAACCCAAAACACAAATATGTAGTGTTGACTACTGAAAGACTTTGCATTGAGTGAACAAGTATGTACAGTGTTGCTTTACTTACAGGCATAATCAAGTTCTAAGCTAATAGAGGGTTTTTGCTTGTTTTGTTAACAATATTCTGTTCCATCACATATAATCTTAAATTTCATCCTTATAAACTAAGTACTAACCTTCCTGACCTCTAACAAAACCTAGATCAGTTTCTGTGGCATAACATGTTCTTTTTTCTTCTTTCCTAGGTCTTTCAAAGCCTTGAAGACCACCATTTGGAAGTGGTGGCTTTTTTCAGGGAAAATGGCTTCCATGGTCTTCTTGCTCATGACTCCGAGTATGCGCTCTACAATATCCCCTCTTACTACAGTTCCCATGCTCTAAAGCTGAGCTGGAATGGGAAGAACCTCACTACCAATCAGTTCCTGATGCAGGAAGTGGCCAAGCAGCTGGGCTTGAAGCGAATGAATTTTCCCATATTTGCTGCACTGCTAGGTAGGTACTTCGAAGCAGGTGGTCCAGGGATTGGTCAAGTTTCTTCCTGCGTTGTTGAGATATGAGGACTAGAGTGATTTAGGCTATCATTATTGGTTTTTCCTTTTTACAGTCCTCATGCCTAGATGGGGGATGTAGTTCAGCTGGTAGAGTGCTTGCCTAGCATGCACTCAGTCCCAGATTCAATCCCAGCACCACATAAATGGGGTATGGTGGTACAGGCCTTTAAGCCTAGCACTTAGGAGGTAGAAGCAGGAAGATAAGAAATTCGAGGCTATCCTTGGGTATACATAGTCAAGGCCAGTCTGGGCTGCATGAGAAAGACCCTGTCTCAAAACAAAAATAAAGCATGAAGTTCTTAGAGCAAGTGCTGCTGCGGAAAAGTGAGTAGGCAGTTGAGGATCTTAGCAAGTCATCCTAAAAATTCATATGCTCCGAACTTACTGACTTATTATAAGAATGGAAACATAAAAACAGAAGTTATGAGCATAAGACCATCTTGGGAACTGCTGCAGGATATTTCAGAACATAGTTTTAATTCACCTAAAACTTTTGGTACATTCTATAAATTCTACGAAGAGCACTGTCTTCAGCCTAATGTTTTACTGGTCCTAGACCATTTTGCTTCCCCACCCAGATTATTAGCATTTTCCCAAATCATTTAGATCAGGAACACAAATTGTTGAGTATGTGTTTGTTTCTTTTGGACTATTTTATTATGAAGGTTTCCAAAAAAACATTCAGCAAAATTGAATTTGCAGTGAAAACTCTATATCCAGCACTTGTATTCTTCCATTAACATTTCCATCAATATATTTATTTTCTGGTGGGTTTTTTTGGTCTTTTTGAGACAGGGTCTTCCTGTCCCTGTAACTCCAGCTAGCCTCAAACTCACAGAGATTGACCTGCCTCTGCCTCCCAAGTGCTGGGATTAAAGGCGTGAGCCACCATGCCCGGCTTCTTTTAATTTTCTTTTTGATACAGGGTTTCACTGTATAGCCTAGACTGGTTTTACTCACAAGATCCTCCTGCCTTAGCCTTCTGAGTTCTGAGATTCCAGGCCTGTGTCATCACACCTAGCTTTCAGTCTTTATTTTAAAGATGTATTTCAAAGTAAAGTGCAGAGTTGATGCTGTTTTGAATTGGTTTGCCAAGTACTGGCAGGACGAAGATTGAAAGGCTATCTCAAGTGTGACCTCTGCTCTATAAGAACAAAGACTATGAGTTTGGATAACCTAATTGAATTGGTACCAGTTTTGGAATTAGGTTTTGTGCAAATTACTGAAGTCATGCTTTACTTCCCTGGTTCAGTTTCCTCATCTGAAAAATGAAAATAATAATGTCCCATGGTGTTATTAATGAGATTAAGTGAGATGAGATATGTAAATTGCTCCGTACTTGACAAGCAGCCAGTAATTTGATGTTAGAAAAGGCAGCATGACTAGGTAATAGGTAATTACCTATTATAATGAGTAAAAGCATGGCCTTTGGAGTTAGACAGTCCTAACTTTTCCCCCTGATGTAGGCCTACCTTGGGCCAAGCCACCAAATGTCTGAATCTCAGTTTCCTTGTCTGTAAAATTGAGATAAAACTATGTGCAGGATCATTATAAATATGATTCATGTACTATACATGGTACAAAGTACGTTATCAGCATTTAGATAGCTGCTGTGATTAAGAATATAGGCCTGTCCAGGCATGGTGGTGCATACCTTTAATCCTAGCACTTGGGAGGCAGAGGTAGGCAGATCTGTGAATTCAAGGTCAGCCTGGTCCTACATAGTGAGTTCCAGGTGAGCTGGAGCTATGTAATGAAACAAAGAATATGGGCTTGTGTGACGTGCTCAGTTATTTTCCCTACCAGGATTCTTTTTATGGCCTAAGGATTTACAAAAACATTTGTATAGTGAATAAATGACATATATACTTTATAGGTAACCACATTCTACCAGATGAGGACCTGGCTGCCTTTCACTGGAGCCTTCTGGGACCAGAACATCCACTTGCATCACTTAAGGTAATATGTCCCATTTTGTCATTGTACAGATTAGAGAACATCAGATTTTGACTGAACTTGGATGGAGTGGAATAATTTATTACATTTGAAATATTTTACATATAACTAAAAATTTGTTTTGATGATACCTTAAGAATTCATATAAACTTGTGAAGAAAATACTAATACCTCAGTAATAAAAAAGTGAATGAAAGAATCAGAAAATTCACAAAGGAGGAAATAGAGTGGCTAATAATCTGACTAGATGTTTGACCTCATTAATGATCAGACATGTACATTAAATGAACAGTGTGGTAATTTTTGCTAAAAGTTTAATATTGAAAAATCAATATTACCTTGTGCCTTCTTAACACTCTGGTAATAGTGTAAATTTGTAATCATACTTCATTTTTTTCAAAGGCAACCATCCATAACTCCAGTTCCAGGGGCTCCAAGGCCCTCTTCTGACCTCGCAGGCAATGCACAACATGGGTGCACTTACATACACCCAGGCAATACAGTTATACATATAAATTAAAAATTTTTTAATTTATGTAATATACAGAGGACCTTTATATCCTGATCTGAACTAACCACAAAAAGGCCTTTTTGAAACCATCAGGGAAGTTGTAAAGTGGGTTAGCTATTAAGATATAACAGGCCAGGGTGAGGGCACTTGGCACCAAGCCTGATGATCAGAGTTGGATCTTTGGAACATACGTGGTGGAAGGAGAGAACCAACTATGCAAGTTGCTCTCTGGCCTCCACACAAGCACTGTGCCACGTGCATACACAGACACACAGACACACAGACACACACACACACACACACACACACACACACACACACACAATCAGTCAATCAATGTAAACTTATTTTTCCAGGAAAAAAAAGATGATACCAAGAAATTAGCTTTAATTTTGTTAGGAGTGACAATGTCAGTATACATATGTTAGGAAATACTGAGCATTTTAGAGATGTGCACAAAGAGTGTGGGAATGAAATAACTTGGTTTGGCATTTGTTTAAAATCATATTGGTAATAAAAGCAAGAATGGAAAAATCTTGATTAGATCTGAATAATATAAGAAAACGGTACATAATTGTATCATTACATTGTTTTTCCTGTGTTTGTAATGTTCGAAATATTTAAAAGAGAAAGTTTTTGATGCTGTTTGGAAACATGGATTTTTGTTGTCTCTTTTACAATTTTATAGTATAAGCTTCTTCACACTGACTGTAATTATTGAGCCAAATGGTATATATTTTCTAAAAGTTTTTGATAGAAGTCATTTTGCGAAAATGTTGTATCATTTACTTCTTAAAAAAACAGTTACTACATACTAGGTGCCAGGCACTGTCCTAAGGCACCAGGGACACAGCAGTGAACACCAAAGACAAAAACTCTGCCTTTCATGGCAGTGCCTATCTAGGATAAGTGTATTGGGATACGGTGATAAAAGCTCTGGGGAAAACCTAAATATAGGAGGCACTAGAGAATGCAAGCACATTTGTGTGTGCATGTGTGGACATATGCACATACAATTTTAAGTAGTGGGATCAGGAAAGGCCTCATTGAGAAAATGACATTTGACAAAACCTCTAGGAGTGAGTAAATGGCCATGTGAGGGGAAAAGGCATTCCAAGTAAAGAGAATAAAGGTTCTAAGGGGTAAGGAAGTATAGGGGTTTTCAGGCTGTGGGAAGGAGTGAATGAGTGATATTTTGAATGAGAGATTTTAAAAAATTTTATTTTACATGTATGAGTGTATTGCCTGCATGTATATGAGTGTGCCCGTGTGATGCCTCGGACGTCAGAAGAGGGCTTTGGATTCTCCTGGAACTGGAGTTAAGGACAGTTCGTAGCTGCCATGTGGGTACTGGGAATTGAACCCAGGTCCTCTGCAAGAGCAGTCAGTGCTCTGAACTGCTGAGCCATCTCTCCAGCCCCATATTGTATAATTTTTTAAAAACAGGATCTCAGTATGTAGTCCTGGCTAGCCTGAAACTATGTAGACCAGGCTAGCTTGAACTCATAGCCTGCCTGTCTCTTTAGTGCTGGGCTTAAAGACATGCACTGTTACCCCTATCATTATTTAAGATTTTATTTTTACTTTTTTTTTTTTTTGGTCTTTTTGAGACAGGGTCTCCCTGTAACCCCAGCTGTCCTGGAACTCACTATGTAGACCAGGCTGGCCTTGAACTCATAAAGATCCACCTGCCTCTGCTTCCTGAGTGCTGGGATTAAAGGCGTGCGCCACCACGCCCGGCCCTATTTTTACTTTTTTAAAGTTGTATTTGTGTGGGTGTATGTGCACATGAGCGCTATGCCCAAGGAAGCAGGCCAATTACAGGAGGTTGTGAACCGCCAGATATGGGTACTAGAAACCGAACTCAGGCCCTCGGGAAGAGCATTAAGTGCTCTTAACTGCTGAGTCATCTGTCCAGCTTCCCCCCTTCCTATCATTTTTATAATCTTTTTGAGACAGAGTTTCCCTGTAGCCTCAGCTGCCCTGGAACTCACTATGTGGACAAGGGTGGCCTTGAACTCAGAGATCTGCCTGCCTCTACCTCCCAGTGCTGGGACTAAAGGTCTGCGCTGCCTTACCCGGCCCATCATTATTTTTAATTAAAAATTTTTTGTTTGGGGCTGGAGAGATGTCTCAGTGGTTAAGAGTACTGGCTGGTCTTGCAGAGGACCCAGGTTGTATTCCCAGCACCTGCATGGCGGCTAACAACTGTCTGGAACTCCAGTTCCAGGGAATCCGACACCCTCTTCTGACCTCTGTGGGCATTTCATGACACAGGTACACTTATATACATGCAGGCAGTATACTCATACACATAAAATAGAAATAAATAAATAAAATATTTCAAAATATTGTATGTGTGAGTATTTGTGTGGTATATTCACATGTGTGTGCAGGTGCACTCCTAGAGGCCAGAGGAGGATATCAGGTGTCCTGCTCTATAACTGTCCACTGTATTCCTTTAATACAGAGTCTCTTACTAAATCTGGAGTTAAGTTGGCAACCATTAAGCCGTAGCAATCCTCCTGTCTACACCATCCCACAACTCTGGGATTACAGGTGTGTGTGACCATGCCCAACTTTTTATGTGGGTGTGAGGATTCAAACTCAGGTCCTCATGCTTGTGTAACAGTCACTGTTACCCACTGAGCCATCTCCCCAGCCCCCATAATTATTTAAAGAGGCAGAGCTATGCAAATATTAGAAGAAAACGTAGTAACTTTTGTGAACTTGGATTAGGTTAATGGTCTTGTATAGGAATCCCAAAATGCAAAAGCCAAAAAGCCAGAAGAATTACTCTTCCTTAAAGTGAAAGTGGGTTTTTTTGTTTTTGTTTGTTTTTGGTTTTGTTTCTGTTTTTTGTCATTTGAAACGGGGTCTCCTTGTAGCTCCAGCTGGCCTAGAACTCACTATGTAGACCAGGCTGGCCTTGGACTCACAGAGATCCGTCTGCCTCTGCCTCAAAAGTGCTGGGATTAAAGGTGTGTGTCACCATGCCCAGCTGTGAAAGTGTTTTTGAAAATTCAAAGGCAGGCCTTCAAATTGTAAAGCAGAATATAGAAACTGGTACTTTTGGAAAATTCTTTTTAATTTTAAATTTATTATCGACTTGATACATAACATAAAATTCTACATATCACTGGAGTACCATCTGATTTTTTTGTTTTTTTTTTTTAAATTAGCTTTTTAAATTCTTTGACAGTTTAATACTTGCATATTTAATCATTTGCATTTCCTGTTATCCCTTTCTCTGCTGCTGAAATCCTTCTTTCCCTCCAACAAGTCCCCCTTTTGCTACATGTCTTTTTTTGGTGACCCACTAAGTTTAGTTAGGGTTGCTTCCATGAGCATGGGTAAAGCTTTTTAAAGGCTTATTATTTTTACTTTATGAAAATGCATGAGTGCCTGCTAATGTGTATGTTCACCATGTGCATGGATACTGCCCATGGGTTGTAAAGAGGATGTTAGCTCTCTTGAAACTAGACTTACAGGCCATTGTGAGCCATGGTGTAGGTGCTGGAAACTGAACTGCAGGTTCTCTGCAAAGGCAGCAGTGCTTCTACCCACTGAGCCATCTCTCTACCCTGTATAGTGGATTTTTTTACCCTTTTTCTTTGAGGTAGGGCCTCCCTGTAGCCCCAGATAGCCTGGAACACCATATGTAAACCAGACTGGCCTTGAACTCTGCCTGCCTCTGCCTCCTGAGTGCTAGAATTAAAGGTGTGTACCACCATACCCGGCAGGATAGGGGATTTTTTTATGTGAGCAAGGACAACTTATCTGTGGCTACACCACTGAAGAAACTAATTTGTGTCCTAGTTTGCTTTCTGTTGTTTTGATAAAAATACCAATACCAATGTGGAGAGGAAAGGGTTTATTGTATCTTACTCTTCCAAGTGACAGTCTATCACTGAGGGAAGCCAAGGCAGGAGGAACTTAAGCAGGGCAGGAACCTAGAGGCAGGAGCTGAAGCAGGGACCACAGAGGAGCACTGATTACTGGCTTGCTTCCCTGGCTTGTGCTCAGTCTGCTTTGTTTTTTTTTTCCTTTCTTTTTTTTTTCTTCTACTTTCTATTTTTATTTATTTTTTTAGTTTTATTGAAATTTTGTGTATTCTGTACAGAAGATCATCTTAATACCCCTTTTCCCCTTCCCCTTTGGCACCCACCCATAGCTGTCACCCCCACTGGAGTTCATACATTCTGTCATTTGTGTTAAGGCCTATTATGTAAAGTTAGTGTTCCCAGATGTCCCTCAGGGCACGTCCATCCACCAGGGTTTAGTCAGCCTATTTAGCGTCTCTTCCTAAAAGAAGATCAGTTCTTCCTCACCCAGCTTTAATCAGCTGCCAATAATTCTTCGACTAAGATTGGGGCTTGCTGTTCATTTCCACAGTTCTGTGCTGTGTTTTGGTCTGCCTAAGTTTGCATGGGTCTTGTGCATGCTGACACCATTGCTGTAGGTTTGTATGAGAAGGGTCCCAGGTGCCCGT